ATATCCTACCCACCCCAGAACACTGGAAATAAGCCCAGGCAAGGACCCGAGGGATTGGGAGTTGGTAGCCTGTAATGCTGGGCAAGGCCACTGTTGCATATATACTTCAGTCACCTCACTGGTAAAATGGAGTTAGCCATTTGAGCCTTCCAGGACAGCTCAAGGGGATGACAGACAGCAAATCAATTTGCTAACTCAGATACGCTCTACAAATGTGAGGGGTTCCTCTTATTATTTTTCCTCCTGTTTTCATTTAACAAAATCTAACCAGTGGCCCATTCAGCTGCACTGATGAATGCCCCCTGCCTCTGAGGTTGCCTTCTTCATTTGTTTCCATTTCAAACACCCTGTGAGCAGAGTAATTGAGTTTGAATTGCTTGGGCGATCCTCCCCCCTTATGGTTCATTGCAAGGAGAGGCTCACAGTTGCTAATGATTTATTATTTCACCTCGTAAGTGTATTTGTTGCTTGTGCCCAGCACAGTGGCTACATAAGGGCAGCACACATGTGCCGTCACTTCCAATACGGACATGAATAAATCCAGGCCAGCCCTTCTGCCTCAGTCACTTATGGAAGCAGCTCTTTCGCCCTCTAAAATGGAAATGTTTTTATCTCACAGCCCCTGTCGCGGGAGCTGTGTCTAAATTAACTCGGTGTCCTTAAGCGCCCTGGCTCACACGCAACACTCAAGGTTTCCACTGCTCTGGGAAAGGGAGAAGGATTCGGTGATTTTGCAAGCACAGAGATAATCCTGTAATTAGAGGCCACGTGTAAATAAAAACAGCTCACGTGTTAGATTATTCATTATATGCTGAGCATTTTACAGTATAGCTTTTCTAAGACACAACTCAATGAGATAAGAATTATTCTTGTCTCTTTTTAAGTGCACTGGTTTTTAAACATGGCTGTGAATTCTTAGACAGACAGTCCTTCCAAGGTGAGGTAGGGTCTATGTCTCTTTCCCTCAAATCTGGGTGGGCTCTGACTGTGTTGGCCGATAGAGAAATGACACACAAGGTGCTCTGACCACTCCGAGACCGCCATGCTGGGAGACTGGTGCCTTCCTTCCGGTCAACAGTTCCATATACACCCAGCCTCCTCGTTACTCCTGCCAAAGTGCCAGACACGCCAGCAAACTCGTCTGGGATCCTCAGGACCAGCCATCTGCCAACTGAATACCATCAAGTGACCTCGTTTGACACCATGTAGAACAGAAGTATAACTCAGCCAAGTTCTGCCTATGTTTCTGACCCACAAAATTATGCAATATATTAAAATAGATGTTGATTTAAGACAACAGTTTTGGAAGAATTTGCACACAGCAGTAAAGAACCCAAATACCACTTGAAGAAACAGAGGCAGAAAATGTGAAGACCTTCCGAGATCACACTGATGACATGTTGTGGATCTCAGGTTGGACTCAAGAGCATCTGCCTCTACAGTCTGACTCTTTGACAATATTGCCCTTTAGTAGAAAATCCATAACCATATGATAATTATGTTATGAATAAGACCGGAAAAAGAAGTAGGAATCAGTTCAGCAAAAGAAATGCTTTCCTACAGTGAGAACTGCCAACACTAAAGGTGGGGAAGTTTCAGCATTTAGAGAAATGTCCAATATGTGACTTCAAATCCTTCCCCAACCCCTTATCAGCTGTGTGACTCCCAGGAACTCAACTTCTCTAAACCTTTGCTTTCTTGCTTGTAAAGTGGAAAGATAATAACTGTGAGGTTCAAATGAGATCAGACCTAGCAGAGAGTACACAATAAATGTTAAGTGCTGGGGAAATCCTCAGAAGATAATTCCCTCCCTCAGGGATGGTCATCCAGCAGGTGTTACAAAGCAGTGCTTGGGACACTTGGCAGTGGATGAAGATAATTTTCATTGTTACGACGGAGGCGGTGCTACAGCAAACTGCTGGGTAAAGGCTAGAAATGCTGCTAAACATACTATGGTGCACAGGACGGTAACCCCTCCTTCCCACCCTAACAAAGAATTATCTAGTCCAAAATGTCAGTTGCAATGCTATTTGAGAAACGCCCTCATAAAAGAATCTCTGTTAATCTTAGAAGTTAAAATAGGAAACACTTAAGATCCCACCAAGTTTGAATTACATTTCTCAAAAATTCTATTATTCAGGTCTTTAACGTGCTAGGATTCTGACCTTTAACAAGTCTATGATCCCTAGATTATAAGATCTAAAAGATATTATGTGTTGTGAGTCTAAGAAGCTACAATTCTAAATTCCTGGGATTCTATATATTATCCTAAGGTACTTTAAACCTAAGACTACTTTTCTAAGCTTCTATGATGCTAAGATCTTAAGAGTCTTTAAACTTAGATTCTAGGGCATCTTGAGGTTATGTTTCTAATAAACTCTATTCTAAGAAATAAGACTTCTGTGATTTTACAGTACCATAATACTGCCATTCTAAGATGTTAATGTGCCATAATGTACATTTATAGATTCAGTCCAGAGCGTGGAAATTTACTGTGTTGAAGGTAAGGAACTAAGTTTTATCCTTAAGCTTAGATTCCCAATCTGTTTGACAATCTGATTTTATAATCTAATAATGGTGTTTGAGGAATGGAGATTTCCATTGAAATGCTTCTTTCAGTGGATGAAAGTTCAATACCCATGATGCAGTATAGAGTTACTGGCTCAGTTTTGACTAAGTTGCACATTCTTGGATATAAAGAGGATACTAACATTTGTATGCATTTCACTGAAAAAACGTACTTGTGGGATAAATCATAAGGTAACTTTATTGTTAGTCTTCTGTTGTCTCTCTGCATATACTCTGTGAGGTTACAGAGGTTACTCTGTGCTCCTGGATTACATTTAGGGTCAGTCTTACACTCCTTCTGGTCATGTATGAGTAATTAACACACAGTTAATCAAGAAGCAACTTGTCTGTTCCAGTGAAATAATCAAGACTTTAAATTTCATTCAAGTTGTAGCTAATACTTCTCTTTCCTGGAACTGACTTACTGCCAGCTGGCCACCTGTACTTGGGGAAGATTCATGGTTGACTCCCTTTTCCTTTCTCCACATTGCTCTTTTATTATCCTACCTTCCTAGTCCTGAGTCCAGACCCCTCCACGGCTCAGGAATAGGGATGGGGGAGAAGGAGAGGAGGAAAAAGGTAGGAAATGTCTCACTTGACTGAACTGTGGAGGGAGGACTGAGGTCCTCCTTGGGGTTGGCGAGTGTTTAAGCACACCTCTCTCTCAGGAACCAGCTGTGAATTTCTCAGATAAGCTCCTTCTTCTCTGTGGCTTTCCCTTCCCTCCTTGCCCTTCCCTCCAGGTCCATCAATGCGTCTCTATTTCAGCTGATCACACAGGGCTTCTCTTTTAGTCTTAAGCCACCTGTGGTATGCCTCTGGTTTCCTTCTACGCAAGTGCACTCGCCCCGCTCAAGCAAGATCTAAGGCAACTTTCTTGCAAGGAGCCCACGTGGCTCTAAGGGAGACCACGACATAATCTTTGTCTTTAGAAATTCTGAGAGTTCAAGTCAGTCGTCAGTCCCAATTCAGCCACTTTCTCCTTCCCTAGAGCCGTGAGTCAGCTAGTCCCTTGTCATTTAAAAGTCTCAGGTGTGAGTCAGACACTAGTTCACTGACAGCCCTTCTCTGAGTGATCCCTTCAACCCCCCTCTTTCACCTGAGGTGGAAGGAGAATGCTTCCCACGCCACCCACACTGAGCCTGGTTGTGGAGAGGATGGAGTGAGATATTAAGGTAGATGAGAGGCCTCATCCCAAAACCCTCTTCTAACCACCATTTTTTCAGCTGCTCCAACATCTTTCATAGTTCAGAGCAGGGGTCAGTAAATTATGGCCTTCCAGCCAAATCCTGCCCGCTACCTGTTGTAATAAACAAAGTTTTATTGCAACACAGCCAGGCTCATTCATATTGATGTATTGTCTGAGGCTGTGTCTGCTTTTCAACAGCGGAGCTGAATAGATGCACCAGAGTCCAAGTGGTCCACAGACCTACGCCATTTACCATCATGTGCTTCACAGAAAAAGCTGGTGAACCCTGGGCTAGAGGCAAGGGCCACGTTCTGCTCCCTTCTTTTATAGGCACAGCACAGTCCTCTCTTGCTTCTCCTTTTAAAAGTTAACATCTATTATATTAGGACCTATATGAAACTGAGACCAAAGTAACTTTAATCTGCTGCCATTCTGTTCACACTTAACTACCTACTCATAAGCCAGGTATCGTAGCAGGATGTCCAACCAAGTTACCTTGTTTAATCCTTGTAAAGATACCATGAGGCAAGCAACTGTTCTCCTTTTACAGAGAGGATATTTGGCCTCGGAGAAGCTTAGTAACTTGCCCAAGGATACACAGCTAATAACCAGCTGATGTGGGAATCAAGCCAGGTCTGCCTGAGTCCAGATGAAATGCTCTTTCAAATACTTCAATTCTCTCCAGCTGTATTTTCCAGAGACTGGAAACCGTATTGTGAAGCCCACCCCTTCTTGTTACCGATGCATTTCCCGTCTGCAGGGGATTTCAGTGCTGTTGTCATCACCTCCGGAGCACAGGAGCTGGGTGCGCTGGAGGCAACCCTTTGTTGGGTAACAAGAGAACTATTTATCCAATCACTCCTTTTCAGATTCCGGTTGATGCCGTCAAGGTCATCATCTGAAAGGGTGATTTTCGGCTTAGAACTCTTCATTATGAATCTCCAGCTTTAACTTACCTTTTGCAAGTAACAAATAGAAGAATTAGGAAAGAACTTTTGACATATTCTGGACTACTCCCAACGCCATTTCCCACTGTTCCATTTTTCAGATGAGAAAAATGAGATCTAAAGGAAACCAAAAATAACTGGTACCAAATGACATAGCAATTAACTACTGAGTTAAGAGAAACTGAATTTCGGGCTCCAAACCTAATCATCTCTCTAGCATCACTGGGACAAAAGGTAACCAAGTCGTCTTTTGCTCTTTTCCATCTTTTTGAAGAATACTCTGTGTTTGCCAGTTAGATACAGAGGTCTTTTATTATGCTGTCAAAAAATACATAAAGAACAAATATTTCAGAAGCTAAAAGAAAGGGTTACATTTGTTTAATGAGAAAGACCATCAAGCCACTCCTGGAAGAAACAAATGAATCCAGGATTTATGGGAAGGGGGAGGGGATACATGAGGGCCACAACAGACAGAGGCCAAGGAGAGTTTGGGAGCAACAGAGAAAAGACAAAAACATATTTGGTTAGATTGAGAATGCAGGGCTTGAGTGGGCGTCATAACCGTACTATATGCTGGATTTTGACAAGATAGGTAGACTGTATATAAGATTATGCCAGATCTTCCTTTTCCATTATACTAAGAGACCTGGTAAATTCTTAATTACTTCTGTATCTTTTTAGATGTCAGACTGGTATTTCTTTTAAATATGACATATGCTGTGACTTGACAGATGACTCATTTTTGTTCAAAGTACTTTAATATTCACCAATCCTCTGTCCTTTCATCCATCTAATTCATTTCTTGATTCACACCACAGCACACATATCTCTTGCGTTCTCTACATTGTCTTGGGCATAACTCTCACTCATTCCCTCAGGCATTTCCTTCATGAAGCCTCTCTGATCACCACTGCTGCAGGGTGTATGTGTCCTGTTGTGTTTTCACCATGCCCACCACGGTGTCTGGTCCATAAGAAGCCTCCAGGAAACATTGTTATATGGAACTGAGTTGAACTGTAACCCCTGTCTGGGGTACTGGGGACCGAGGTGAATAAGTCAAAGGTTTCATCATTGAGCATCGTAACATCTGGTAGTGAGAAGTAGAGGAAGGGAAGGGAAGGGTACGAGGGAAGTGCAGAGGAGGCTTCACTTAGAGGCTGACCCCACGCTCTCTCATCGTTGAACAGATGAAAGCAGAAAGGCCACTCTGGCTGGCCCAGATAGAGACTCGTTCTTAAAGGAAGAACAAAATTAAAATTCTGAACCTCTCAGTCCATGTGTTGCCAAGTACACTGCACTGATTACTTACATCCCATGACTGTAAGAGGCTTTGACAAGCAGCAAGTGTGGAACACACTGGGAGTTGATTGTTCTATTGAATAGGCTCTGGGTAAGTTGGATAAATGAAAGGCATGCTGCTTGCCTCTGAAATCCAGGCTGAGGAAATAAAGTGAAATTGGCAAATACACCATTTCAAATGAACTCCAGCCACCACCTTCAAAGACACCAGAGTGAAACCAATATATTAGATTCATAGGAGACATCCGAGGTGCTCAGTGTGTATTAATTGGCAATGTCACTGCTGACTCCACATTATGTACAGATATATTGAATCTCAATTCCAATTCAGCACACATTTATTAAAGGCTGGCTCTTCATTTATTTATTCATTCATCACTCGATATACAAATGTTTTGTGTGCCCAGAAATATGCTGGGTGCTACAGAAACAGGGTAGAGCTTAACCAACGTTGCCCTGCCTCGAGGAAGCTCATAATCTAGTGAATGATCCACACAGTAAATAATCACGCAAATAATCAGTCAAGATTTGATAAATACAAGGAGGAAAAATACAGACTATGAAAAGAATGTATAATCAGGGGCTCTCATCCAGTCTGAATGTCAGCAGACGTCTCCCTGAGGAAGTGATAATTTAGGAAAGGACATGAGGACGAGGTGGAGGGAACCAGGTGACAAGGTGGGTTCTCTAGTTAGGAGAAGCACCTGTGTCCTCTGTCACAGTGCTGGTGGCTGTGTGTAGAGAAGTAGAGAGACAAATAAGACCCATGATGACCCATGGCACTCATAAGGCTTTTGAGGCAAATAACAGAAATCTTGGACAAACTCAAGTGAGTATGAACGATAAAGAAATGTATTATCTCATATAACTGGAAACCCAGAAGTTGGGCAGCCTCTAGTAGAAGCACATGCGTAATGTAACATAGACTCGGATTCCTTCGATCAGTCTCTCCTCTCTCTCACTCTACCCCTCTCTCTCCTAGCCTCAGCTCCAGATTCCTCCTGAATCAGATCCTGGCATCCCTTGTAGAACCAAGAGGGCTTCCAGAGGTAACATGGCTTCTATGCATGCTGCCTTGTTCATGTTCAGGGGGACAGCCCAGAAATCCCTCCCTCAGTCATGAGTGGTTGGACATATCCTTCAGTTATCTTGTGATAATTAAGGCATTTCTCCAAGTCCCAGCAATCACAGGGGAACGTCATACACTGATTGGTTTAGGGAAATCAGAATCTAAACTCTGGGGCAGGTCATGGAGTCACCATCCACTAGAAGGGGTAGAGGTAGGTGTTGAAGCAAAATCAGAACTCTGGGGAGAAAGGAGAAGCAGGCTGTGTGGAACAGATGTTGAGTTAGCTACCATCAATGTCTGCTCCACTGCTTTCCACAAACACAGAGAAAACTCATGTCCAGCTTATAGCTGGACGCAAGATGTGAAGAGAGTAGCATCAGCTTTGGTTGCGAAAAGACTAGATTTTATTCCTGTTCTTCTACCTACTGGCCGTGTAAGTAGATTAGCAATTCAATATCTCTCAGCTTGATCACCTTGAAAATGGGGGAAAGAATTACAGCTGTACAGCATGCTTTTGAGAATTAAATAATGTAGACAATGAATTTGATATATGGCAGATAATCAGTGTATGTTCCTTCCTCCCTCCCTGCCTTCCATCCGTCTTGCCCCAGAGAATGGGGACACATTGATTCTCAATGGTAAGCAAAATCTGTGGAGGTTCAGTTGCAAAGTTGGGTTTGAAAACGGGCAGAGAGGGCCTGCAGAGAGCACTTTTTGCATATAATACGACATTGGAGACAGAGTAGTATTACTTGACCTTGAAGAACAGAAAGACACCAGAGCATGGTTGAAGAGTGTGTATGTGTGTGATTCCGAGTGTATATGGGGGCGGGGTGAGAGATGAAGACAGAGGAGGCGTAGGTCTGGTCTGGTCACAGACAGCCACCATGCTGGCCTCAGAATCAGCCTTCCTTTTGATGGCTAAGGCCATCTTACCAGATCAAGTTCATTGCATGCCTTTTTTTCAGCAGGAGTTCTTTCTCAGTAGGTTCCTCAAGGCTCACACAAAGAGGCTATGGCAGGCCAGCCCCACCTGTCCACCCAAGTGCCCAGACTTGCATCAGTGGGTTCTCTAGTTAGGAGAATCAGTAGGTCAGTACGTGTTTAACCAAAGGCGATGGGGATCACTCAATGCAGGTGTATAAACTGGTTTCTCTGGCGGCAATACCAACAATGGAAAGATGGGGTCTGACTTTGCTCTTGTTTCAACAATTCATAAAAGTAAATAACGAGGTTGTAAACCGGGAGAGGGCAGAAAACATGAAGACAGACTTTTGATAAAATCTAGAGGTCTTAGAAAGCTCTTGTATGTGGAGGGGGGTAAGAAAGAAAGGTAGAAATCTAATATTGCTTCCAGAATTTCATTTGGAACAACCTGAGATATTATCAGTTTCTTAAGTGAAATGGGGAACACGAGGAGGAAAATGTAGACTATTTGGGAAAAGGGAAGTAGCTCAAAATTGCTGGAATGTATGTTTTGAGGAGCGGTTGGCAGGAAATGAGGCTGCAGACATTGACAGGCATTAGGGAATGAAGAGCCTCTTACAGTAAAATGTTTGAAATTTATTCTAAAGGTAAAGAAGAATTAAAGAAAGTCTTTAAAGCAAGGACATGTTGTCTATATTTTTGAAAGACCCTTCTGGCTGCACCGGAAAGATGGACTGAGTGATGGCAGACAGAGGAGATTTCTGTAAAGATCCAGGTGAGAAGCAAAGAGAACCTGAAAATAAGGAGCAATAAGGAATGAAGGAGGGAAGGGTGGAGAGAGGAATGATTGGATAATGGAGGGACTCATCTGCCATCTTAAATGACTTCTGTTTTAAGAGGCAGAGAAGCCCGAGTTTGGAATAACCAGGCTTTAATGATGGAACATCAATGGATCCGTCATTTCTGTAGAAATGGTGTAGTAATGGCTTCAGATGCTGAAAATGGAGCCCAGACTCCACGCAGGCATCTGGGTAAGACTCTACCACCCGGAGCTGAGAGCACATGAAGAACAAGAGATTTGGAAAGTTCAACTTCTCTGAAAAGAATGGAGCTTTTCTGTTTGGAGAGTTTAATCTTACTATGAAATATCACTAATGGGTGATTTAATATTGTTCACATTTCAGGCATTCGTGGTGCTAATATTACCTTATTTACCTTGCAGTTCTGACACAGGAAATCCCTTGATGGCTGAATTGGGTCCCAGCCCCTAAATTCATATGTTGAAGCCCTAACACCCAGGACCACAGAACGTGACTGTTTTTAGGACTGCGCCTTTAAAGAGGTAATTAAGGTTAAATCAGGTCACTGGGGTGGGGCCCTAGCCCAGTGCTGCTGATGTCTTTATATAAAGAGGAGATTAAGATACAGACAGACCCAGAGGGAAGATCATACAGAGACACTTGAGGAACACGGCCATCTACAAACCAGAGAAAGAGGCCTCATAAGAAACCAACCCTGCCACCATCTTGATCTCAGCCTTCTAGCCTCCAGAACTAGAATGAGAAAACACACTTCTGTTGCCAACCCTGACCAATCAACCAGAGACCTCACTATCAAGACCAGTGGGTTAACAGGAAAACAAAAACTCAAAGACATGGTGACTTCTAGAAAGCGCTCATTCTTATCACATCCCACCCCCAACTCTGGCCTCTTAGATTCACACAGGGTTTAAGATTGAGGACATTTTTGGAGGGCCACTTTAACTAGAAGTGAAGTGTCTAAAGCACTTAACAGTCTGAACCACAAGAGTATGATATATTTGGCGAACCCCAAGTGGGATACATGAGCTGGTTCTGGGGAAAGGTCAGACCCAGGAGCAGCTTCCTACACGGATCACCACTTTACGGTTCTAGCTCCTTCTTCCGTGACATCGGTGGGTGCTCACTGGCTTCCTATTTCCTCACATTACGGTTAGAAAATCTAAGGCATCAGATTGGGTGTTAGAAAAGGGATTGGGAAACAGATGGGGAAATAGGCAGAGTTGGCCTTAGTCTTGGTAAAAATGTTTAGTTTTAGCAAAATGAAGTTTTCCATAGGTTCAGCCTTGTATATTAGTCCTTTGCTGATGGTTTTTGCATTGAAGTCAGGGGCCAACACAGAGGGTAATTTTCTTTGTTTTCTTCTGCATGTGTGCCCATCTCAGGACTTCACAGGGAAAAGAGTGATGGGGTAAAGGGAGATTTGAATACTACTATGTCACTTGGTAAAAATATAGACTATAGAGTAGTAGTTCTATTACTCTGATGTCCCCAATCTTGCCATCATTCCTGTGTAATGGGAAGCCATTGAAGGCACTTAAGTGGGGACTGATATAGTAAGATCTGCTTTAAAAAAACACATGGTGGGTAGACAGGATATAGATGTCACCCAAGGTAGAGAAACCCCCTAAGACATTGCTCCAGGGTCCCTCATTCATTCTATCCACTTATTTTACAGATATTCATCGTGCGTGTATTTTGTGAAATCGATCTTGGCTCTGGAGGCACAGTGACTGAGAAAATCAAAGTCACTGCCTACACAAAGTTATACTATAGTGGAAGAAAACAAGGGCTAAGTAAATATGATTCTGTATGTAAGTCCTGCGGAGAGAGAACACGGTGCCTGGGGGCTGCTGTTATATACCGCAAGGAGGTCAGGTAAGTGCTCACTGATGAGGTAATACTGAACGCAGTGACTAGAACGAGAAAGCAGGACATGAGGACGTCTGGGGAGGGAGGATTTCAGGCAGTAGGACTAAGTGGAAAGTCTCTGAGGCAGGAATGTGCTTGGCTTGCTGGGGGAACAAGCAAGAAGGCCAGTGTGGCTAGCACAGATTCAGTAGCAGGGAGAGGGGCAGCACATACATTTGGAAAATCAGCAGGCGTAGGTAGAGGGAGCATAGATGAAATAAGGACTTATAAAATCTTCCTGTCTCTCGGTCAAACCTTCATCAAAATGCTATTTTAGTTTTCCTCTGGGGTCCCCTATCTCCTCATCGTTCCCGAACAATAGGAGGCTGGTGCAGGTGGTGAGGGTGACATTGTACAGGCGCTGACACGTCAAAGGCAGGAGGGCCTGAGTCAGGACGGCTACAGAGACGGGCTGCAGAGGTGAGCACGGTGCTCACCGACCTTCCGTACAAAGACGCACCTGTGACCGGCAGCCAGGTGGCGTAGGTGTACAGAGTGGTGATGTTCACGTGCATGGTGCAGTCTGTGGAGGAGGTGAAGCGTCTCTTAGCCTCGGTCCTGATTCCTCAGGTCATCCGGTTTCTCCAGTCATAGCTGTTCCCGTAAACACTGCCACAAGGTGACAGCATCCCAAGCAGCGGAGAGGCGCTTAATGTGTGAGCTGTCACCAGGTGTTGACCCCCCCTTAGCAAACGCCCTGTCACTTCCCAGCGGCCTCACGAGCAGCTCTGCGCTGGGCAGGAGGCTCTCTGCTCAGCCTGGGACCTGCCATGCTGCTTGGGCTTCACAGTCACACCTGCCATTTGCTGCTGCATCACTGTTGTGATCAAGAGGCGGAGAACAAATGGAATTGTGCTCCTTTTAAGCTCTTTTTGATATCATCGTCGTCGTCGTCATCATCACCGTCATCAACATCACCAACATCTACTCAGAGCTTGCTGTGTGCCTGGCACTGTGGTAAATGCTTGCTCAGAACCTTACTGAACTCTCCAACAACCATGAGGTTTTATCACCCACCTATTTAGATGAGAAAAATAAAGGAGAGAGTAATTACATAATTTGCCCAAGTTCACACAACTAGCTTGGGCTCACTGACCCAGAGGAAAGCTAACCTGTCCTCCTGCCAGGATGGTAGACAGAGCTGCACCCCTGCCCACCCTGGGCTCTTTATAAAGACCAGGGGACCTTACATCACTTCCTTAAGGTCCCACAGCTTGTTCATATCAGGAGCTAACACACACCATAGCAAGTACTAGTCTAGTGGCTTTTATGAAATTTTTATTTATTCTTCACAGCAACCTGAATTTTACAGATGAGGAAACAGAGCCCAGGGTCTGAGAGCCACCAGAGAGCTGGGCAGGGGCTTGAGTTCCAGACTCTCTGATAACCTTTGCCCCTGACCCCCGTGGTGTCAGGACTCACTTTGAGCGGAGCACGTGCCAGGGTTCAGATTTTCAGTGGACAGATTTCGTCTTAGAGCAGACAATCCAGTGCCGCACCACAAGACAGAAATAGAATGGGAGCCATACGTGCACTTCCTATTTTTTTGAGTAGCCACATTTTTAAAAAGAATTGATAGTCAAGTCATACTCCCGAGGAAGGGAGGATAAATTTTCATCCTCGTTCCTGTAAGAAAACTGAAGACAAGAAAAGCATCCATAGAGGCGAAGTCCCTGGACTTAGAGTCACTGAGCGAGCTGAATTCAAATCTCCCATCTGCCACTAACTAACTGTGTGACTCTGTGCAATGTATGTAAGCTCAGTCTTTGCTGCATCGTCTGCAACTTTAAACTCTAACAAACACCAAGCACCTCAGCACATCATGCTGATTCGTGCCTCCACATGTCTCTTCCAGACTAGGGTTTCTGCCCTTCCTGCTACCTACCCTCTTGTAAAACCGATGCTGATCCAAGGAAATCTGACAAAATGAGTGACTTAGCTAAGCTGATACCTACTAGCGCTCCATCTACAATCCAACTGAATAAGCGCGTCTATGTTTTTTACCTCTCTCTCTGCCCCCCTCTCCCCTTCCCCGCCCCTCTGTGTGTGTGTGTGTGTGTGTGTGTGTGTGTGTGTGAAAGAGAGAGAGGGAATTCTGAGGGATTTCTTCCCCCAGTGTAGTTGAGATTAGGATAAATTGAATTGTTGGTTCATGACTATACCGAAGCTTCTGAGTGTCCAGGAGAGACTCAGTAACAGATGGTTAATCTGAAACAAAACCAATAGCCAGGACTGCGCCGTCAATAGACCTGGGTTTACAACTGGCAGGATAATATTATAAACTTGATGGTCAGTCTTCTGTTTGTTTGCCACTTTCGTCTTTGTTTGCACCAGTCTCACTCAGACCATCTTGCTCTACATGCCGATGTTCCCTCTACAGCCATGTCCCGGGGGGGCTCCCTTTCTTCCTTTGAGTGTCAGTTTAAATGTCACTTTCTTGGAGAGGTTTCCTTATGCAGACTTAACACAAAGTAAAACCCATTCTTTTGGACACTATTTCAACCTCTGTTTTTTCCTTCATAACATGTATTTTGGTTCACAATGCTTTTTAAACGTATTAAGTACGTGCCTGTTTGCTTGAATATGTTTTTTCTAGACTAAAATGCAAAATTTATAAAGTCAGATATTGGTTTCTTTATCATTGTTTGTTGTTGTTGTTCAGGTTTGTCCTCATTACCTAACATTGTTCATGGTACTTAGTAGGTAATCAATAAATATTTGTTTGGGAAAAACAACAGTGACAATAAGGAAGGAAGGAAGGAAGGGTGGGTGGGAGGGAAGAGAAGGAGGTTGAAAGAGAGAGAGAAGGAGGGAGGAACAAATAAACTAACGGACAAATGAGAGGGAAATGCGATGAAAAAAGAGGGAAGGAAAGAAAGCAGTTAGGTAGGCACTCAATTTAACAGAGCCTCATATTACCCTTGTGTATTGGGACTCCTGAGTGGAATTAATTATCAAGGATTTTTGTGTGATAATCAAACCATGCAAGATGTAAACAGTAAAACACTATGCAAATCAGAGCCATTAAGGTTTGTCAACAACTCTTCCCCACCCCCCCTCCCCAGAGGCATCTGCTGTGCAGTACCTAGAACATACTTGGTGTGTCTCTTTCCTTCTGCCCTGAGTGCCTTCCTCTCTGCCTTCATTCCTACTCACCCTTTAAAACTTCCTCTGGGACTTTTCCATGATGCCCCGTTTTCCTGCATTTTGAGATAGGTATCTCCTCTACATTTTTATGGGGTTCCATGGGCCTCTGGTGACTGGGGGCAGGGGGAGGGGCAGTAAGCCACTGCCCTGATCACGTGGTTTTGTAAGAATCTCTTTAGAAGCCTGTCTTCTGATTTGGTGGTTAGCTTCCCAAGGGATGTCATGTCTTGTTTATTATGATACCACTACTTAGCCAAATCACTGGCATATAACTGTATATTGAAACAATAAGTGCAGAGGTGATTGAATAAGTAAATACGTGAGTGAATGAATAAACATTTTACACTTGCTGCACACAGGAGCTTTTTTTGGTGAGCATTCTCATACACTTCCTAGCATCTAGTGTCAAATATAATAGGTACCTAAATGCATCGCAGGTTTTTTTGGATGGCTTGTTATTTTCTTACAAAAGAACCACTGTCTCTGTGGTTATGCGGCAAAACCAGACTGCAAACAAGAGTATTCTGTTCATCAAGAGAGGCCACAGGTGTTATTTTAGAGGCATCCACTGCCTGAGTAAGAGCTGAGCCCTTAATTTACTCTGATGACTACCCTTAAGTAGCCAAAGTGACTTGGAAGCCCTCCCTTGAGACATTCATTGGAAAACACAGTTTGAATTAGTCTAATAACTGAATGTCAACCGACTTCTACCACAAAGCAGTGAGGTGTGCTTCCCTCTTTACAAATCAAGTAACCCAGAGGAGTACAGCCTCAATAACCACTAATAAGGGTTCTCAGAGGATTGAGGCCAGCAAGGGAATTCTTTTTACCTGTAGCCTACAGTCCAAATACCTTACCTTAGCATCCACTGCCCTTAATGAGTCAGCCCTGACTTCCCCAATCATTGAAAACACTCCGTAAAATCCCACGAGCATTTGTAAGGAAGTGGAGACGACAGGGCATTCCAGGTTGAGGGAACAATTTAAACAAAGGCAAGAAAGTCAGTTAAGTTCAGCAAATCAATAATTCTATAAGGTGCATATGTGGGAGGAATTAATGATAAAATAGGGAAACGAAGGTCTGATTGTGAGATGTCTTGGAATAAATGTTGCTCGGTCTTCTGGTCTGAACAGGGTGGCATAGATGTGTTTTTCCTTGTGCCTCCTCACTCAGCATCACCATAAACCCTAGAACGGGTGCAGAAGACAACAAAGGAGAACTCTGAGAGGTGTAAGAAGGCCAGCAGGCTCGGGCTCCAGGACTGGAAGAGCAGCTCGGGGGCAGAGCATCTTGTCTTCTCTCGCCCAACGGAAGAAAGTCACCCAGGCCTGGTGTTCACCAATCCCTGACCCACCAATAGAATAACATGCAGGCAGACGCATTCTGGCCCTGGATCAAACAGGAGTCTCTCTGGATACATCAGGTTACTCAGACACCATGAATAACCAGAGGATAAACAAAGAACTCTTCCCGCACTGGGCCTGAGACTCCCTCTTTCTGCTGAAAAGTTCTGAGGGGTCAGGGAGAAAGCAAGAAAAAGACAGGAAAACCAGTGGCTGTATCCAGGAAGCCTGTCTGTCCTCACAGGCTTAACTGAGATTCCCCCTTCCCGCTCAGAGACACCAGGGGAGCAGAGGGGGTGGGATTGGGGTCCAGTAGGTGGACCTGAACCACGCCCCTCCCAGTGGAAGGCATCTGACAGCAGACTTGGGGAAACGCCCTCTGCACCCTCGGCAGCACTAGCCTGGACAGGGAAGGCCCGGCAGCACCAAACCAAGCAGATGAAAACCACGCTGCGCACGTTCTGAGGATTAAACTGCCACTAGAACCATACTCCACAAAGTCAGCCAAAGCCTGCATTCTAAACCTAAACTTGGTGACTTGCTAAAAGAAAAGATTTTAATAGGACCCAAAGCATTCTAACATACAGACGCTGTCCAGGACGCAATTGAAAATCACCAAGATACCAAGATACCAAGAACCAAGACAATCACAACTGCAATGAGAGAAGACAATCAAGTGATGGTGTACGAGGACAAATCAGACGTGGGAATTATATCGTTGAAAGAGAAGGGTGTTAAGGCAGTAGTTGTAAAAAATGCTTCGAAGTTCAATTATAGATTCTCCTGAAACAAATGAAAAAAATAGAAATTACAGCAAAAGAATAAAAGTTTTATATAAATATATAAAGAACCAAATGGAAGTTAAGAAACTAAAAATGCAGTAACAGGAAAGTCTCACTGGATGAACTCAAACAGTAAAGTAGAAATGACTTGTCAATCAAGACTGTGTGACACACAGATCAATGGAACACATGTCAATGGAACAAAATAGAGATCCTACCGAGAGACTCACATAAATGTGCTCAACTGATGTTTGACAAGGGTAGAAAGGTAATTCAATGGAGGAAAGATAGCTTTTTAAACACATAGTACTGGAGCATTTGGGCACCCATAGGCAAGGAAAGAAAGAATTATCTTAACCTACTCTCAACACACTATATAAAAATTAACTCACAATTGATCATAGACAAATATAAAATATAAAAATATATAACTTTCCACAAAAACAATAGCAACAGAGGAGAAAGTCTTCAGGATCTAGGGCTAATCTGAGAGTTCTTCAACTTGACATTAAAAATATGTTGCAATAAAGGGAAAATTGATAAATTGGACCTCATAAAAATTTTAAGAAGTTTGTATTTTGACAGTCCATGTGAAGAGGAAGAAAAGACAATTTATAGACTGGGAGAAAATATTTTCAAACCTCAGATCTGTCCAAAAATCAGTATTTAGAATATATAATGAACTCTCTAAACTCAACAGTAAAAAAAAAAAAAAAAAAAAAAGACATCTCACTGAAGATATACACGTAACAAATAGTACATGAAAAAGGTATTCAACATTATTAACCATCAGAGAAATGCAAATTAAAACCACAATCTGCTATCACTACATACCTATCGGAATGGATGAAGTTAAAAACAAAAAAATACCAAAGAAAATGAATCACTCACACATTGCTGCTGGAAATGTAAAATAGTATAGGCACTCATTAAAATGGTTATTGGCTTCTTGTAAAACTAAATATAAAATTACCACATGACCAGGCAATTTCATACCTGGGCATTTATCCCAGAGTAAGAAAAATTTATGTTCACGTGAAAACCCGTACATGAGAATTCATAGTAGCCTCATTTGCAGTGGCGAAAAACTGGAATCAGCTTGGCTGTGCTTCCGCAGGTGAATGGTTAGCAATATGTGTTACATAAGTTTCATGGAATACTGCTCATCAATAAAAAGGAATAAACAACTTGGTTAAGTCTCCAGGGAATTATGCTGAGTGAAAAGAGTCAATTCCGAAAGGTTGCATTTTGTATTATTCCGTTTATGTAACATTTTTAAATGACCAGATTTTAGAAAGGGACAGCTTTTTAGTGGTCAGGACTTCATTCCAGAGCCAAGTGGGGTGACCATGGTAGGAGATGGGGATAGTTATAAAATGCAACATGAGAGATCCAACGTGAAGCAGTAGTTAGAACTATTCAATATCTTGACTGTCCTGGTGGATACAGGAACCTACAAAGATGATAAAACTGTATAGATCTTAACATACACATACATGTGTAAAGTAGAACTGGGAAAATCGGGATGAGATCAGAGGATTGTATTAAAGTCATTGCCCTATGATATTTAATATAGTTTGGCAAAATTTTGCTACAGAGAGAAACTGGGGAAAGTAGTCAAGGGATATCTATGTAGTATTGATGATTTTTATTACAATTATATGTGAATCTACAATTATCTCAATAAAGCTTTCAAGGAAAAATACTACTTGCTCTAACTCGGGGCAGACCATGGGATGGCTGAGCCCATAAGCCCTAGGGAAAGTAGCTAGAAGGGGTCAGTGTGAATGGCTGTCATTAGGAAAGGATTAAAAAAAAGTGAAGAGCTTGGTCAATGGTTGGCTTTTATGTAAGAGGAAAAAGAAAGAGATAACAGACAGTTCGGAAATTTGAGACATCAAAAAGTTGGCAAAATGAGTATTTCTAGGCTCTCAACAGTAGGAAACAAGCTTGGAAAAGCTTGGATTGACAAAGACACATAAAGACTCAGCCATTCTGCAAAAAGTAGTAGTGTCTCGGCCTAGTTGTCTTGAAAACAGAGCCCAAGACAATGTTGTATGTCCATGTGTCTTATCTGAAAAATAATGAAAGACTAGGAAAGCCATGCAGGGAAGGAGGAAAATCCAATTTAAGAATATTGGCCACTCCTGTGGGTGTCAGGTGCCCAGTCATCACAAGACCTTCTGAGAAGCTTTACACAAGGTGCCTCATACTGTCAACCCATTAAGTGAAGGATAGGAGACATAAAAAAGGAAGCAGCAAAGTGTATCAAGCTTCAGAACTGTGTCTAGGTTGTGATGACTGGCCACGTGTAACTGACTGGAGAGAAACAGATCAGAAGCTTCCTAAGTTTGGGGGTAAATTACATTGTCAAAACACTACCAAAAATTCTCTGACTCTTTGAGACCTAAAAGGGCCTTTGAGACTCCATACCGTACTTGCACCTGCAGAAGTGGGCTTTACAGGGTTACAGAAACTTTGCAGACCTATAATAATGCACCCTGGAGGATAATGAACAAGAATAGAACTCCCAGAGAATAGAGCAAAGATCCATGGAGAACGAGGGGCAATGAGTATTCTCCCAAACATCAGAGGAGGATTTAACTAAGAAACATCACCAATTTTCAAGTTAGAGGACCTTCTTAAAGCCTGCCCTGCAGGACTTCAGAGAAGATGCAGACCAGTGGCTGCTGTAGCCTCCCATTCTACCATTTTCTGACTGAGAATTTCTTTCCATAGGAGGAGGATGGGGAAACAGACAACCTCCTTTTTATTTGTAAATTATTGAACCACGAGGAGACATATCCATGGGGAACCATTGGGGCACTAAGCATCTACCCGACTTTGAGCTGAATGCAGTGGGACAGAAGAAACCTGGCTTGGCTCTACTGCGGAGGGTATGAGCGCGTTTCTGTGTGACAGAAGAATGAAACAGATTTCTGGGCAGTGACCAGAAGGGTAAACTGAAAACCATTCCACGTCTTCTCTTCTCCTTGGGCCCAAAACTAGACTACATTTTTCACCCTCCCAGCAATTAGCCAGTGGAATATGAATTGAAGTAATTTACTTATACTTTTAGGTCTGACCCATTAAAATATAAATTGTCCATAGATAATTTTCAATTCTCTGTTTCCATCTGTTGCCTTAATGTAGAAATTTTGAAGAAGCTGGATGTAACTGGAGCCAAACATGGAAAGAGTTTGGTTCCCAAATACCCTTAACAATGCAGAGTTCTCTTGCTAACCCACATTGGACTGTGATTTATGCTATTTGGCAAAGTGAAGGAATTTTGCAGATGTAATTATTAAAGTCTCTAATCAATTGACTTTAAGTTAATCAAAAGGGATTTTATCCTGGGTGAGAAGGACCTAATCACGTGGATCCTTTATACAGGGGTCTAGATGTTAAGAGTCTTTCTACTGTTGGCTCTGAAGACACAAGCTGACATGAATTCTACAGACACAAGGAAATGAGGCTGCCAACATCCTGATGGAGTTTGGAAGTAGATTCTACTCTAGTTGTGCCTTCAGGTGAGGACACATCCTGGCTGACACCTGGATTTCAGCCTTGGGAGACCCTGAGCCGAGGGTATAGTTAAGTTACACCAAGACTTCTGACCTACAGAAATTGTGAGGTAATGAAGACATGTCAAGTTGCTAATTCGTGGTACTTTGTTATGTTGCAATATAAAATGGAATACAGCTACCTTGCATGACACGAATTTTAATTATTTTATGGCAAAACTACATCCCTAAGGTCCTGTCAAAGAAAAGAGTTTTATTATATTTTCCCTTATTTTCTGAAGTCAACCAGGACAGTTTTCAGTAGAAAAGAATCCCTGATAGGTGAGATGGTCTTGGTCACATCCTTGTCTCTATTGAGTCTAACTGATCCATTATTGGTATTACTTTCAAGTTTTACCACCTCCAAGGATCACCTGAGATATAATTAAATAAATATTTTTTCTTTTTATCTACTCATATTTTTACTTACGTAAATCTTTGTGAAGAGTGTATTAGTTATGGTGACACCAGCTGCTGTAAGTGACAAATCCTCAAATCTCATTGGCTTAGAATAAAAGTTTATCTCTTCCTGTGAAACATTCCAAAGATGGATATTCTCCAGGAAACTCTCTTGTGCAACTGGCTTCTATGCACTGATTCAGGATCCAATTTCTTCCAACTTGTATCTCAGTGGCCTTCAACATACAACTTACAAAATCACCTGGTGTTCATCTCGGTATCAGCCAACCTGTGGGTAAAAGAGAATGAGGAATCATGCATAAGGAGTCCCCAGGTACGAGGCCTTGAAGAAATTTCCTTACTGGTCCCAGGGATATGTCTAATTGCAAGGAACCTGAAAAACACAGTTAAGTCCAAGAATACCCTCCTACCCACCGTGGACCTCAGACATACGTGGGAAAAACACCAGTGTAGTTTCAATTCTCAACCCTGTGACTACTTCCCAGGTGACATTTGTCAATGTCTGAAGGCTCTTTTCGTGGTCACAAGTAGGGTGAGGGCCACTACTGACATCTCATGGGTAGAGGCCAGGGATACTGCTGAGTACCCTACGATACATCGGACAGCCCTCCCCCTGCCCCGCAACAAAAATTAACTCTCGGGCTTCCCTGGTGGCGCAGTGGTTGAGAATCTGCCTGCCGATGCACGGGACACGGGTTCGAGCCCTGGTCTGGGAGGATCCCACATGCCGCAGGGCAACTGGGCCCGTGAGCCACAATTGCTGAGCCTGCGCGTCTGGAGCCTGTGCTCCGCAACTAGAGAGGCCGTGATAGTGGGAGGCCCGCGCACCGCAATGAAGAGTGGCCCCCGCTTGCCACAACTAGAGAAAGCCCTCACACAGAAACGAAGACCCAACACAGCAAAAATAAATAAATAAATTAATAAACTCCTACCCCCAACATCTTAAAAAAAAAAAAAAAATTAACTCTCCCCATATATCAGCAGTGCCAAGATTGAGTAACCTGGTATAGAGTAAACAGCAACAGATCTGTAAATCCCTGATATCATGTATTCATACAGGACAAATTCTTAAGCATTTACCATGTGCCAGGTACTGTTCTATATTCAGTGATGCAAAAGTGAACGAGACAGATTCCTTTCCCTCATGGCACCTACGCTCTGGCTAATTACATATGTGACTTGATTAACCCGCCTGAAAGTTCTGTTTCTCACTTACGAAGTAAGGGTCAATATAACTCACAAGGCACGTTTCGAGTTTAAATGAGACAATGTATGTGTAAAGGAATGTTAAAATGGTGCTCTTCATGCTTCATGAGGCATGAATTCAACAGATGTTACATTCCAAAGTGAATTGGAGACAGAACACCATGGAAAAAATAATTGGTTATATGACTATCATAAAATGTGGATATAAAAAAGTAGGTGGAGGAGTGATCCAGGAGAACTCTGCAACGGGGGCTTTGGGGAAAGGCCTTGGGGCCAATGAGAATGTGAAGGGGGAGGAGCCTGATAAGAGGGCTTTATGAGCACAGTCAGATTTGATATGTAACCAGGGATGGGTGCTGATCTATATCTGAGAAAGTTATAGTAACCTTGGGCTTCAAGGATGGAGAGTAACATCTTGGAAGTAACTGCACTCCTTCTGAGAGTCAATCAAACAGGCGTGGAGCTTTGGGACCAAATGAGGTAGGGACGGAAGCTTGCAGTAGTTTCCAAAGGACTCCTGCCCCAAAGGGCCACCTTCCAGGCTGATAAGACTCGGCAGTAATGAGATGTGGAGTTTTCTGCTAAGACCGAAGCCCAGAGGAGATATGGGAGGGAAGTCACGTCATAGGAATTGCAGGGGCGGGGTCTCAGCAGGGGAGATTCTGAGGAACTCACCATGGCACTCACAAAGGAAAGGGCAGCTCTCATCCTCTGACGAATGAGAAAATCTTAGGACAGCGCCAGATAAGAGCTTTCCCTTCCCCGTCTCTCCCTACCCTCTGCTTGGTGGGGTCAGAAAATTACTACACGAGTCCGGAGGAGGCGAAATTCCAGGTAGAAAAGAGAGTACGAGGATTATACCAACCTCTTTTGTTTTAAATGAGCAGCATAAACCCATTGGCAGCACGTAGAGAGCAGAAGATTTAAAACTAAATCAAGTTCTGGGCTTACCCTGGTGGCGCAGTGGTTGAGAGTCCGCCTGCCGATGCAGGGGACGCGGGTTCGTGCCCCGGTCCGGGAAGATCCCACGTGCCGCGGAGCGGCTGGGCCCGTGAGCCATGGCCGCTGAGCCTGCGCGTCCGGAGCCTGTGCTCTGCAACGGGAGAGGCCACAACAGTGAGAGGCCCGCGTACCACAAAAAAAACTAAATCAAGTTCAGAAAATTGGTCAGGTTAGGAGAGGCTATAAGGAGGTAACGAATAAACCTACAATTCCAATTAATTCACACCACAATTTTTTTTTATTTCTTCTCATCCGCACGTCTCAGTTATAACAGCGGGTGTACGTATGCCTAGGTTTGGGGGGGGTGGAGGTGCGCTTTCACATATTCACATAGGGAACCTCACTGACTGAGATTCCATCTCATCATTACTACCTCAACAAATGACTTCCAGGGCTTCTGAAGCACAGCAAGAGAGAGCTGGAGTGTTGTACATGGGCTTTTATAAAGTGACCCGGAACGGTATACATGGCATAAATGGCTTTTCTCCATCTCCCAATGGCCAGAATTCATCAACATGGTAGCAAGCATAATTGCACCGGAAGCTGGAAAATGCTGTCTTCCTATGTGCCCAGGAAGGAGAGAGCCGAATATGAGTGAGCACTAGACCCCTTTCAACTTTCCAAGTTACAATCCACTGGGACTAGACATTTTCAATTGCTATCTTGAGACACTGGATTTTAGGTATACCCAACAAAGTCGGGAAACTGAGTTTCCATCCAAGGGCAGAGGAAAGATCGCCAATACTAAATAGGTTAAAGAGAGACAGATGCAAAACAATGAAGCAGTTTTCATTAGACTCCACAAGTCCTACAAATTCAACTTTCTGGTAATAGAAGTAAAGCCCTAGGTACATTGAGTTACACAGACTGGGTACCACGGGACCATTTCCCTGTTTCTTTCTCTTTTCCATGCACAGATAGCTTCTATACCTTCCTACTCCCGATGTGATACAAAATAATATCCTACATTATAACACATTTTGTAACAGCAACACCTGCCATTTCTTTTGCACCTACTATATACCAGATGCTCTGCTAACACCTCTTCACATTTTCTCTTCACAGTCCTCCAGTGGGTGGGTCCGTGTTTCCACGCGGGGGGTTAATGCAGAAAACTCTGCAGAGTGTGGGAGATATGCAAAGTCAGGATTTCCTGGATCAACATTTTTACTCAAATAGTGGGAAGACAACCTCACTAGCAAGAAATATAGAAGAGGGAATATTATTTTTTATATTAGAACAAATGTGAGCATATCTGTGGGGTTTTAAAGCTTTACTGAAATATAATATACAAAAATTGTACACATTTAATGTATATATTTCGATGAGCTTGGGTATATGCATACTCTCACCACAGCTAAGGTACTAAACATATCCATTACCTCCCAAAATGTCCTTGCACTCTTTTGTGTGCTTTGCCCCCTTTGGGAAGAATACGTTAACAAGAGATCCACCCGGTTAACACAGTTTGAAGTGCACAATACCCTATCATTAACCATAGGTACTGCGCCGTACAGCAGATGTCTGGAATTTATCTTGTGTAACAAAACTTTATATCCACTGAAAAGCAATTCCCCGTTTCTCCCTCCTCCTAGCCCGTGGCAACCACCATTCTATTCTCTGCTTCTCTGAGTCTGACCATTTTAGATAGCTCATTTAAGTAGAATTATGCACTATTTGTCTTTCTGTGACTGGCTTGAGACCAGTTGGGTGTGTGCAGCTCATAGGAAGAACGTACTATTTTATTTTATTTTACTTTTATTTCCATGCAGAAAACTGCTAGTCCCTTCCCCTTCCTCCCTCTTCCCGCCACGCCAGGAATCAGACACAAAGCTGTCTCTATCCATCAGCACATTGCACAGGTGTTCCCTGGGGGGGCAGCTTTGTTAAATCCCTGTCCCCGCACTTAGCTTGTCTTAGCTGAAGAATTAGGAACACTACCTTAGCAGAACAGGTACAGACAAAATGTATACTTTTCCTCAGGGTTTTGGGGACATCTCGGAGAAAAGGTAGGAAACCTTATACTAGCAAATGGAGAAAGAGAATATTCAGGGAAGAATAAGCGATTGACCCAATTAGAGAGGAGCCACAAAACTCTGAGGGAAGGAAACCTTAGAGAGGAGAATCTGTGCCATTAACAAATCATCATCATACCCAGCCCTCACAGAGCTGCTCTGTGCTAAGGGGTCCATAAACTTCACTTCGTTTAACCTGCTCAACAACCTTTTGATACAGATACTGTTATCTGAAGCCATGCACTCAATACAATTGACACCCCAGAAGGTTAAGCAAGTTTTTGAGTCACTGCGACTCAAAATCTCCCACGTCATGTCCATTCTCCTTCCTGGCCCTGCCTTATGAGTCTCCATGGGTCTGCTGCATCCTAGATCAGAAGCTCCCAGACTAGATTCTGCAAATGCTCATTCATCTCTCCACCTTCTGAAGGTAGCTCTCTCTACTTCTCTTTGCCAGAGGGAAGTAATGACCTCTGATTCATTCAGTAGAATTCATGAAGGAGGATTTAAATTCCAGGTCAAACAAAACCATTAGTGTAAAAAGCCCCCAACAAAGCAAAACTGCAATGATCATTAGTGTACTGATTGCTTTAGATCTTTTCTAAAAACAAGGCAAGTATAAATAAACACCTGAAATGACAGAAGCTGTAAAAAATAATACAAACCACGAAGAATGGTAAAAAGCTGTGTTTTCTAAACCAATGCCTCGTGGGATACAAGCTCAATGAAATTATCCTTTAAAAAAAAAGATGATATGGTTGTGTAGTTTGGAAAATGGTCTAAGCTTTGAAATTCATGTTAGCATTGTAAAGATTCTAAGATGTCTGGCAATATTATAGTTAACGTGGCTTAACTCAGATAATGAAAATTCCAAACTCACTTAGTCACAAAACCATCTTTTCTCTGTAATGAATGTCCTTGATAAAATATACTGTGTATTTACTTCCTGTGGAAATATGTGGAAAATGCCAATAGGAAGCTATTTCTTTTTCCTTCTCAGCCCCTTGTTCAAGCCCTTGATGTAAAACATCTAAGACTTGCCCTATCTGCCCCTCACCACAACCAACAGGAGACTTTGTAATATGA